TCCCAAACAGCTGTCTTAAGAATTGAAATCTTTTTAATTACTTTGACAGAAATAACATTTTGCTTATCTTTCTCTAAAGTACTCAAAACATTCAAACTGTTGTTCATACTAATACTTATTCTCCTTCTCTTCCTTTCTTTTTATGCTCCCAACTTTTTGTCAATTATATTTATTCTGTAGTAATTCCCTCTGTAGAAATGCATAATTTTGAACTTTAAAAAATTAAAAGATTGACCAAACTAGAAGTATTTAGTTTAATTGAGTTTTTCTTAGTATTAGACGGCAACATGCTTATCACAGGACTATATTTATTTGAAGGTCAGAAAAGATGTTTTTCCAAATATGGCAGAATTAACTTATCTTTTGTAAGAGGCGGTAGGAGGCCGTGTGCTATAATGCTGTTCATCAGAGAGCCTAAATGTTTGTAAGCAGTTAATTCTTAATCTTACTTGCATCACCTATGTCTAAGTGCCACTTTTTTATTAATAATTACTAGTACTTTTTACCTTTATTTTACCTCTAGTTTGAATAGGAGCATTAAAATCAGCATAAAGAGGTTTATTAAGTAAAATTTTAAAAGTATTTAAAATTTAGGGTTGATTAAATATACTTTGATAGAAATAGAGTGGGCCCTCTAGTCTGGATCTGTGAAAATTTATGTTTTTGATGATGTTATATGGTCTTGAAAAATAGTTTTCAACAGCATTTACTTCTTAATCATTGATATTTTGCATACATCTTATTGGTAAAGATTATGACTTAGCTCTATTTTAAAGTCGCTCCTCTGTTTCAAATATTGAGCCATCTGTGCAGTGCCTACTTTGAACCATCTTCTGTCTCCTTTCTCATATTTGGCTCATATTACCAAATGGAGTATTCCTATAGGCATTTTTACTTTAGTGAGCTTTAAAGTTAAAGGAAATTTTTATTAGCTCTTCGAAATTCTTGTGCATCTTCTTTGTCCTTCATTTTTAGGTTTAGCTATTACTGTTTTTCACAAAGAAGACTCATCATAAATCTATTAAAATGCAAATCATTAAAATAGCATTCTCAAAATAAACATCACTATTTTGAGATCTTTCATTTCTCAATAAATTAGAAGATATTAGCTTCATGTCCCTTTACAGGCAGCGTTCCAGAACAGCTTGTGCTTGTAACTCTAAGGCTAATTTTATTTCTTATTTTAACAAAAACCTGGTCTTGCTTGATACAATTTAATTACTTCAGTTGCATGTGGAATCATATTAGTTACTATTGATACATTAATAACTTCAACTTCAGAAAAGCATTAAAATCACAGTTAAAATATGAATGTGTTCAGCATAATATTTTTGTGCTATTTATTGGCACGGGCTTTCATTTGTAGTTTGTAAGCAGTGAGAAGTGTGAACAACTGGTGATAACATAAATGTCAGCAGTTAACTGAACATACTAATTAATTCATCAAGCATTACTGGTAAATAGAAAACCATCCTTTAATAAGCAGGCTAAAAACTATGTGGCAAAGGTGTATTTTATCTTTTCCATAGCATTGTTAAAGACTATTGATTCTATTCTACTTTATATTTCAAAATTGTTTTTGAGGGCACAATTCAAAAGAGAATGGAAATTTTGTAAAATATTCTTTTAGGGTCAGTGCTTCTTGTTTAAATAGTTAATACCTTTGACTCACGATGCTCATCAATTTGGAGAAATTATTCAAATATTTCCTGTAGAAGAATCATTATATTGTCCTTGAGAATCCATTCATTGCTGTTTATAGTAATGTAGTAAGCATTTCATCTCTTACTAAGTTGAAGTTTATAATAGAGGATGCCTTAGACATCAAGCTTTTTACTTACTGTCTTAAGTACTATGCAGAGGTAATACATTGTTTCCCACCCCTATATAATCAGGATAACTGGCTGAAACCAATTTTTTTTGTTTTTGTTTTTGGTACCGGAGATTGAGCTCACGACTTCGCTTTTGCCAAGCAGATACTTTTGCCACTGAGCTAAACCCCTAGCCCTAAGTCAACCAATTTTTAAGCTCAATGTCATTTTGCATATTTTACTAACCTTTGCTTTTCCTTTGATGCACTAGATGAAAGGATCACTAAGAACAGAACAAATCACTTTATCCTATAAATTCCTCTCTGTCACAGACCAGTCCATTGAAAGCTATTTATGTTTATTCTCATTTTAGTTTTTTTTGGAAATCATCTGATTTATGCTGTACCTGTCAAACATATTGTTTTTATTTCTAGCACAAACATCTTTTGAGAAGTCTAATGTAACAATTTGTATGCCATCAGAATTCACGTGTTTTAGAAAAGGCCCATTTTCTTTTTGAAAATGAGAATTTGGCTTGAATTTACTCTTAATCTGTTATGAACTGTTACACAGTAATTATAATACAATATTAACTGAATTTCCTTCTACTGACAATGATGCAAGAATTCCTTTTTCCTTTTTGGTGGTAGAAGGTGTCATGTTGATGCCCATTAAATATGTGTGAGCTGAGGTGAGAAATTCATTATGCTGCTGTAAAAATCAGTGTGAACACATCTTTTCCTTATCCAAAATCTTCTCTATTGTTAGAATATTAACTGGGAATTTAAGTGAGTTAAACTCTGTTCTTGATTTGGTTCAACACTTTAAAAATTAATTTGTCGGCAAGAAATAGTATAAAATATGTCTGAGAATAAATTTATAAGGCTCATGAACACAGAAAATCGATATATGACTGTGTATCATAACATTGCACATGAAACTTTTTCTTCATTTCAAAAGTTGACAAGCACCAATAAATGGCCACAATATAGTTCTGCTTTCCTTACCATTTCCAAGGTAGACATGTTTTGATTTTTTTTTTTTTTTTTTTTTTTTTTGGTCTTTTTCCTTTTTATCAGTACCGGGGATCGAACTCACGACTGCCTGCTTGCAAGGCAGGTGCTTATGCCGCTGAGCTAAATCTCCAGCCCCACGTTTTGATTTTTAATGAAGATAAAATAATAATTCTTTGAAATGGATCCTTTGTAAAGTGTGGGAACAGTCAGTCACTGGGACAGTGCTAACCCATCTGAGGGCCAGGTTCACAGGAATGAGAGCTTGGAAGAGGAGGCAGGACTGGCAATGAGCCAGGCCTCAAAGAATTTAACAATTTGGTCAAATTAGAAGGAGAATTCTTTTAAGCTAGGTATAAATAAGGCAGATAGTCTAGCAAATATAAATGTTAATGATTATTTTGTCATCCTGCCTGCTCAGATGCTGGTAAATGAAAACTCTGATATAGAAATTATACACTACAATAGTAAGTTTATATTCAGCTTAACTGAGATGCACAGTGGATGTAAACCAACTCTCAGATTTTTGGCTAGTCAACATGTACCTTCTTCACAACTGTCATTCCTAATACCTACTTATAAATGAGTTAGGACCATTCCTCATGGCTAGGAGAATCAGCCTTAATACAACCCACCGTTTACTATATTTCAGATTTTCCAGTTTAAAAAAAATGAGTATCATAAACCAGTAAGTTTGAATGCCCATGTTCAGTATCATTCACTGTTACCTCAGTGTTGATTTTGTTTACCTTTCATAATTTTTTATTCCAGTTTTTTTAAGAAATATTTATTGAATTCCTTCTGAATTAAAACATCCACAGATGTTGGAGGCAGAATGAGGAGCAATGTAAGAATGTTCTGCACTCTTAGGTCTGACAGTCTGTGTAGGAAGATAGATATTAAAAATAAGTAGCTGTGATCTTCTATACTATGTTAGCACTAAAGTAGGAGAGATCAGGGCTCAAAGGGTACTTATGCAGAAGCACTTAACTTGTTCTACAAAGGTTAAAAGGGGATTTCTAGAAAGTGCCGTCCATGCTAAAAACTTATCGATCAAGTAGAAGTCAGACAGGCAAAGAAACTTCAGTCACAACATGAGCAGTTAGAACAACAAATGGCTGAAGATGGTATATAATTACACTTCCGCCATTTGCCAGATACTGCATTCTTAACTAAGTATTCCAACAGTGACTTCCTGGGTAGATTTTACAGTTTACCCAAGATTGTATGACTAATACATGGCCAGAACCAGAATTTGGGTGATGAATAATATGATTCCAGGGTATTATTCCTACTACCCCTTGAAGCAATAGACTTATTTTAGTTGAACTCATTTGTTAAGACAAAAAATAATATTTGACTGGTATCTCAGGTTTGCTTTGTTTTAAGTTGTGATGTTTATTATTTTTTAAAAATGAAGACACTATTTACAGTTTAACAAATTGTAGTAAAATTTAGTATTTGGGTGTAATTTTCTCCACTATCAAGTATATTATATAGCACAAAGGTCTGAAGCTCATGTTTAAGTAGTATCTTATTTGGACACTCAGAACATGGGACAGAGGACAAGTTCGCATGAATAAATATTAGGGTAGGCAAAAAAGACAGTGTTAAACTCTTACAAAGAAAAGTATTACTCACATTTGTAAAGCAGTTGCAGGTCTCTGGTTGACATAAACAAGCTGGCCATATGATTTTTCATTTTAAAGATATAGCAGGTAGAGGGTGAAGATATAATGATCTATATTGAGGCAAAGCCAGAAGATGCTTAGCGCAATACCCATTGAATAAAGTAGATGAAACACTACTATGTTTTTACAAACATCTCTTCCATCAGATGGCACTCAAAAGCAGCCTTCACTGAATTTTTTATCATACCTATAAATATACTCACAAAAGAGGACTTGAAGAATTGCTTCCGAAAGTGACAACAACAATGAAATAAGTGTTTTTGAAGTGAGAATGGGTATTTTGAGGGGAATAAATGGTAACGTCACTTACTGTAGTAAAAATTTTAAAATATTTTGGTATTCACCATAATAAATCATCAAAATGTCAGGTGGAATTTTGTTATCTTTATTACGTATCAAAATCATGAACAAAAAAAGAATTTTTGTGTTGCATTTTTTGCCCCGTTATTTCCTTACTAACTGTAAACATGTTTGTCTGACTTTAGGGACACCACTGTACAAACACTGACTCTTCAGCCATCAGTTAAAGATGGACTCATTGTGTACGAAGACTCGCCTTTGGTTAGTAATCAATTATATGGATATTTTGAAGTATTTTTGGATGATAGCTATATTTAGCCTTGCCTTCGAGTGGCTGGAGAGAATTCTTGACCTAATGCCTTTCAATCTCACTAGAATGTCCTCATCCCTGTGTGTTTTAGGGGAAGATATTTAAATGCAAATTGTTGGGAAAATAACATGTTTTCTTATTCTTTTGTCTCTTCAGAGAGACTTAGGAATGGCAAGAATCCTGTATTAATATCTACTACAGCTTTTGTTTTCAAATGTGTAGTTTTAGCAAATAAGGTGATATTTCTAGAAATATGTCTTAAAATGGTTTTAAATAATAGCTTTAACATTTAGAAAGCTGGAAGGTCCAGTCTTCAGCTTCCTACTTGAGACCCAAAGATATCTCAGTGTGCCACAAATGTGTAGGCAACTCCCACAAAGCAGCGATACAAGTGAGACATCACAGAACCTCTGTGGTGCAGACCCCAAGGACTGGAGCCTTTGAGATCTCCTGTCTGAATTCCTCAGGTTGGGTCAGACTTTACCTGAACAGAGATGAGGCTGGAAGAAGAAACTACATGCTTTCTTTTCCTAAAATTCAGTTTATTATTGCCATAATTTTAAAACACTTCCTTACCAGGTCATTTAGAATATGTTATAAAATATTTGTGGTAAGAAGAATCATCCATTTATTGACCTACATCTCCCTGAAATTACTCATCAAAATTATGCAATAAGGTCTACGGCCATACCACCCTGAACGCGCCTGATCGCGACTGATCTCAGAAGCTAAGCAGGGTCGGGCTTGGTTAGTACTTGGATGGCAAACCGCCTGGAAATACCGGGTGCTGTAGGCTTTAAAAAAAAATAAAATAAAATTATGCAATAAGAAAATTTGATGATACAGTTTACTATAAAACATTTTTATTATTATAAAAAGATAGTATCATGATTCATATAGTCACCCAAGATCTAGGACTCTTATTTTTCTTTTCCTCCTTAAAATTCAGGCAGTTGCCAAAACTATAAATTTCACATCTTCAGAACTCTTCAGATTAATGTAATATTTTTTTTAAATTTCTATTTGTTTCAGGCTCATACCCAATCAGGTACACAAGCCCTTTTCAAACAAATTATTATAGTAATCCCCTTTTAAACTGTTGTGCAGTTTGTTACCAGCTTAAATATACTAAAGTGTATCTTTATATGCTATTTCTGCCATTTGTGACTGAACTCACAGATACTGAAGTAGGTCTCATTATTCAGTGAGATAAATTCATGTTTGTTGGTCTGGGAACTCAGTACTTAGTAGCTGAACCCAGCGTGAGCCACCATTGTCTTTTCTTACAGTTAGCCTTCATATCAGCCAACATAAACTTACTCGTATTCACTTCGTATTAACTATTCTTCCAGAGTTTGATCACTAGTTCCCTTCATCTTGGGTACTCACTTGTTTAGCACTATCCATTCTGATCTATTGAAATAATGTTATACTTTTTTTGGCAGTGTGGGGATTAAACCCAGGGCCCTTGCACAGAGGTACATTCCCAGCCCTTTTTTATTTTTGATTTGGAACATTACACTTGTTATGGTTCTTTTAAGAGCAATGCTTGTGAGGTCTCAATTCTTAGCCTCCATGAAACTTTAATCTCTTTAGTATACTTGTTTTATATCCCCCATTCTATGATTTGAAATATTGTTGAGTACTACCACCATAGGAACGATTCTAATACTGAAGGAAAATGAAACAATTAGCCACAATTGAAAACCAGGTATTATAAATTTAAAGCAGTGATAGTTTTAATGATGGTTACTTGCATTATTTGTTTGTGTACGTGTTTGTTTATGGTACATCTTCTGTCTTCAAAGGTTAAAGCAGTAAGGTTGGGTCATGTTCTGGTAGTAGATGAGGCAGATAAAGCCCCAACAAATGTCACCTGTATTTTGAAAACTCTAGTGGAAAATGGAGAAATGATTCTAGCAGATGGAAGACGCATTGTTGCAAGTGAGTATGGAAAAGTAACTTTTGCCTTTAAGTACACATTTTTATATTTTTGGTATCAAGTCACAATTTTGTTAACTTCCTATTTATAAACATTAAGGACAAATTTAATATAAATTAAATTGTACTGAGAATCATTTTCAAAAATTGATATTTAAACCTAGTTTTGTCGTGTGTGTGTGATTAAACCCAGAACCAGGACTTCACTCATGCTGAGTGTTTGCTCCCACACTCCGCTCCATCCTACATCCCAGCCCCTAGCTTTTCTTTTTATAGTTAGACAACATGTTTGAAATTTTCAGTAGTGGTAGTATTAGGACAAATCAGCTTCATATTTTTCTCTCTGAGAATATCAGACTATAATGTTTATACTCATTCTTAATTATTTGTGGGTGATTTATTTTGCTTAATTATCTGTAATTCTTTAAGTTTCTGGCATAATTCATTGCTGATAGTATTAATTCTTATTAGCTCAGTATAATTTAAAAAACTTGCCAGTCACTTTTATTTTATATAGATGTGTATTTATATAGGTATGAGCAAAATGTACGGTGAATGTTTAAATTTAAAGAAATTTATTACAGTAAAAGAAACGTTGCCATTAATCCTCCTCAGAAAGCTCCCTCCTGCTGCAAACAGTTACCCCATTGTTCTGCTCACTTTCCCCAGCAGTTCTGGGCGTCTTCTTTAATGCTCTTAGTTGCCCTGTTGTAATTGCTTTAATATCCTAAAGAGATTCAGAATGTTTATTTCTGATCTTCTAAAGACACTCATGAAAGGATCTCCTGAACTGCTTCAGAAGCTGGGGAGGCTGATGTCACCAGTGTGGCCAAAGCAAGGGGGGTATTTTGAGAGTGATTAATGGTGCTCTGTTTTTTCTGTACCAAATTGTTTCATTTAAATATTCAGTGTATATTTTGATCTCTATATGTTATATGTTATATGTTATATATTATATATTATATATATGTGTTTACATATATATTACCTGCACATTTTCACCTCAGAAAAAGTCATTCTTTGTTTTGGGTTGTCTTCTTCCATTTTCCATGCATGTACCGTTTTGTTGCTTTCATTAGGAAAAGCTGATGATAGATCAATCTCATCAGTGTGCTTAATTACAGGGAAGTTAAACTTCTCAAATGCAATGTGAGAACATTTTCTGGTTCCTAATTTCACATTTTTTTTTGTTTCCTGAAAAGACTTGAAAGTTCAGAAGAAGCCACTGAAAACACATAGCACATAAAACTGTGACCATATAAGTTGGAATTAAGTAAAATCTTAAGTATTTGAAGGTAAACTATGAAAAAGACTCAATTATAACGGTACAAGTTCATCATCACACAAGTTTTCTATTGGACATTATCATTGCAAGTCTGCCATTTCTGAGCTTGACATTTCTGAGTTTGACAGTGATAATGATAGTTTCATATTTCAATTTTATAATGAATTTATGAAAAAAATTAGAATTTGAGTTGAACCTAAAATCATCTCTTAACAACACCATGCAGATTCTTAGGATTAAAATTCTTCCTACCCTGAACAGAAAGAGATGGCGGACACACTAACTCATTTATGCAAGCCAGTATCATCCTGATCATGAAGCCACATACAGAGCCACTAGAAAAGAAAACTATAGGCTAGTCTCCTTAAGAAACATATATGCAAAAATCCTCAACAAGATATCAACAAATGGAATGCAATGTGTTGTCAAAAAATCACATATCATGGTCAGGTAGGTTTCATGCCAGAAGCACAAGGATAATTCAACATGTATAAGTAAGTAAGTGTGATATCTCACATAAACAGAAGTAAGGCAAAAAAAAAAAAAAAATACCCATATGATCATTTCAATAGATGGAGAAAAAGTTTTCAACAAAATCCAATAGCCAGTCATGATTAAAAAAAACTGAAGAAAACAGGTATAGAAGGACCATACCTGAGTATGATAAAAGCTATATATGACAAAACAATAGCCACTGTCACACTAAATGGGAAAAAACTAAAAGCACCCCCCCCCAAATCAGGAGCAAGACAAAGATATCCACTGTCATCTCTTTTATTCAGCATAGTACTTGAAACATTAACCAAGGAATTATGCAAGAGAAAGAAATAAAAGGGATACATAAGGAAAGGAAGAACTCAAATTATCATTTGCAGATAGCATAACACTATACATAGAAAAACTAAAGAGTTCCACCAAAAACTCTTAGAATTAATAACCAAATTCAGCAGTGTAGCAGGACACAAGATCAGATACATAAAAATTATTAACATTAGTGTATATTAACAATGAATGGAATGAGAAGGTGGCATCAAGTAAAATGAAATACCTCAGGATTAACCTGAACAAAGAAGTGAGAGACCTCTACAGTGAAAACTACAAGAGATTGAAGAGAACATCAGGAAATGGAAAGATGTCCCTGGGTAGGCAGAATCTGTATTGTCAAAATGGCCACTGTGCCCAAACCCATTATACAGATTCAGTGTAGTCCAAATCAAAACACCAACAGCATACTTACAGATAGAGAAAAGACAATCCTGAAATTCATATGGATTTTATATGAAAAGACCCATAATATCAAAAGGAATTTTGAGCAACAAGAACAAAGTTGGGGGGGCTGGGGATTTAGCTCAGCAGCATAAGCACCTGTCTTGCAAGCAGGCAGTCGTGAGTTCAATCCCCGGTACCAATAAAAAAAAAAAAAAAAAGAAGAAGAAAAAGAAAAAGACAAAAAAAAAGAACAAAGTTGGAATCATAGCAATACCAGACTTCAAGGTACTGAAAAGCGATAGTGGTAAATCAGTAAATGGAACAAAAATATATGTGGATTAATAGGACAGAATTGAAGATAAAGAAACTTTACAGACACATGCATCTATCTGATCCTTAACAAAGGGGCCAAAAGCATAGACTGGAGCAAAGATGGCCTATTCAGTAAGTGGTTCTGAAAAAACTGGTTATCTATGTGCAGAAATAAAATGGGACCCTTAATCTCTCACTATATACTAAATTTAAAACTGGATCAAAGATAAACATTTAAAACAGAAACTGGAATATAAAATATTAAAACACTTGAAGGAAAGAATTTTCCAAATGAAACCACAATTGCACAAAAAATAACAGCAACAACGAACAAACGGGATCATATCAGACTGAAATGCTTCTGTAAGCAAAGAATCAACCAGTAGACGAAGAGAGAACCTACTGACTCATTTATGCCAGCTATCACCCAGACAGAAAACTAACATCTAGAGTACAAAAGAACTCAAAAAAATTAAACCAGTGAAAATTAAAAATCAAGTCAAGAAATGAGATGATTGGATGAAACGTGGCATCTGTCTATAGTGGAATACTACTCTCCTGTAAAAATGACAGGCTTGAGACATTTGTAAGAAAATGAGTGAATGATGAGCAAAATAAACCAGACACACAAGCTTAACTACCATGTGGTATCTCTCACTTGAGTGAAGCAAAATAGAAACAAAGAGAATAATAAAGGATGGATAGGAGACAAAGGGATGGATCTTATAATAGGGAGTGGTCCAAGGGGAAGAGAGTGAGGGTGAGCAGGAGACGATGGGCAAATAAACAGAATAAAGATATACCATGTTCAGGAACCTGGTACTGTCAGTTAATGTAAGCATTATATGTCATAACATGAGCTGAGGTTAATAATATCAACAAGAATGAAAAATGGGGTAGGAATTGGAGGAGCAGAGAGGGAAGGGTGAGGGGATCAAAAAGGAAAAAAAAAGCTGTGGAATGTACATATAACCATTCCCCAAGATGATTATAAACTGCATGAGCTAATAGAAGAAAATTAATTTTTTAAAAAAAGATTCCTTCCTATCATTTTTAGAGGGATTTGTGAAGGCACGGAAGTAGAAAAAAAGAAAGAATTGCTAACATAGAATTATAGTTAAGGAATCATTGTAAATGATGTGCAGTCACACATCTGTGTGTGTGAGTCTGGGTGTGTGTGTGTGTGTGTGTGTGTGTGTGTGTGTGTGTGTTAGGGATTAAGCACAGGACCTCACCAACGCTTAATGAGCATTCCTCCACTGAATTCTTCCCCAGCTTTACGGGTAACATTTTAAATAAAAGTACACAAAGCCTTGTTGAACAGAGCTTTATAAACAATTTCAGATCTTTTATTTTCTTTGCTTTTTTAAATAAGATTTTCATTTTTATCATCAAATTTTTGTAATCAGTTAAAATTTGCCTTTGACCACATACTCTTGTTTTTCACATTACTAAAATTAATTGAGAACAAATGTTAAAACTATACATTGTATGAGCACATGAATATGGAACAACTTGAAAGATTACTGTTTGGTGTTATAAAAAAATTACAACTGTAGGTTCTTAGAGACTCATCTCAAATAAAATTGCAGGTGTATCACAGCCATTGTGTTTTAAAAACCTAAGGCTGAGTTTTAAACAAACCCAGATGGCAAATAGTTTTTTTTTTTTTTGGTACCAGAAATCAAACTCACGATCTTAAACGCTTGCCAGGCTGGCGTTTATGCCGCTGAGCTAAATCCCCGGCCCCAAAGAGTTCCTCTTAAAATAAACATAATAAAAATTTTATGATCTCAAATCATTGTCTGAAGGAGCAGTTTATCTGTAATGTTCATTAAGACCAGTAAATTGAAATTCTCCTTTTCTTTAATGCTTTAAACGTTTGCATAAAGAAAGCTGCAGTCAACCTGACATCACTTGTTTTAAGAACTGTGCTACAATACCTTAATTGCAAATAAATTAGTGTTTTGATAATGAATCATCTAGGACTTGAGACCTTGATTCTGTGTAGTTAGGTTATAGGAAGTGTGATCTAAACAGGAAAGGCTCCTTATATTACATAATGCCAGCCTCTCTACAAAGAGAGGTAGTGATGAAAAATGAAAGAACACTGGGAAGTATCCCTTGGGTATTTTTTGGATTGTGTCTTTCTTTTAAAATCATTTTAAAATGTTTAAGATAATATTTACATCTCAATTCAGGATTAATTACTGTAAGACACTGGCACAGTGTAATTGTTTGTTTTAGTGGTGGGTGTCAAGTCCAGGGCCTTACATGCGCTAGGCAAGCATTCTCCCACTGAACTACATCCCCATTGGGTTTCCTTTTTGGTTGTGTGTTGAACTCACATAAATATGCACATCCCTGTGTAACTTAGTTACTTTTCTGTTGTTGCAGAGACAAAATATCTGGCACTCCAAGTTAAAGGAGGCAATGGTTTTTTTGTTTGTTTGTTTTTGTTTTTAGTCCAACAGTTCATAGAGATTTCTTCAGTCCATAATTGGGTGACTCCAAGGAAAGGTGGATGCCAGATAGACATCGCAGAGTAGAACCAGTTCATGGCAAGTAGAAAGTAGCAAAGCAAGCAAGGGAGGAGACGAGCCTCTCTCTGTCCCTTAAATTATATCCAGGCTCCTGGAATGAGGGCAGTGCCAAACCAACCAGCTAAAACCAGTGTACTGATTTAGTAACCACCCACCCTTAATCCTAGCATTGCACCCTGAATCATCACCAGTCTAGATTCAGCCACCTCTGAAAAAGCCCCACCTATGACTGCATGAGGCTTTGGGGGGCCATCTAGACACAAGCCATAACACTGTGTAATTTAGTACATGTTTGTCATTATCCTGTTCCTGAGCAAGATTTCTCAGGAAGGTTTGTTTTTCTACAATATAGTTATTATAGAAGACATCTTGGGATTTTGTGATACATAAACAGCATGACTTATTTATGTGAAAGTCTATAGCTCAGTATTCTTAAGAATTATTAAATATCAATGTAGAGTAAATAAAAATCTTGTTTTTCAGATTCCGCTAATGTGAATGGAAGAGAAAATGTTATAGTGATTCATCCGGACTTTAGGATGATTGTTCTGGCCAACAGACCTGGATTTCCTTTCTTAGGCAATGACTTCTTTGGAACCTTAGGTAAAAACATTAATAATAATGACAATGTTATTGATAAGGCCTAATGGATATCCTTGCTCTCCGTGTGCTGTGCCGTCATCATCCTCTTCCCGTAAGAGTTTCTGTTATCCCTGTTTTAGAGAAGGACGATGTCTAATATTCAGAGAGAAAAACTGCCTTTCTTCAGCCACTTAGCTAATGAGTGGTAGAACTAGGCTTCATATCTAAGTCTATCTGATTGTTGAGCCTTTTTTCTTGAACAGTTAACTGTACTTTGTTGTTTATAGCACCTTGGAATGAAATAAGAAATACTGTTTAGTGTATGTTTTTAAGATATACACCTAAATATGTCAAGGGCCAACGCGAACCCAGAGCAGACTCATTCATGCCAATTATAGAGATTCTGGGGTAAACTTAACTATCAGAAAGCTTGAAAAAGGACTTCTCTTCTCCATACTTATAAATAAATACATAATTTTAGACTTGATTCTCAACATGCAGCAGGCCCACGCTCCTATTAGTATCTTTGATCCAGGAATTCCACAGCAAGGGATTTATCCAGTGAATTTATCTGCACAATCATATAAGTACAAAGACAGGGAACGCACTATTTTTTTTATAACAGGAAGCATGAAAGCAACCCAAATGCCCACCTGTGTGGAACTAGATAAAGAAATTCTTTGTCTAGTTCATTGTATATGATCCACAGAATGCAACTACAGTATTAAAAATTAGGTAAGTGATAGACTGAAATAAAAAAATAAATTCTCAAAACATTAGTTGAACAGTTAACCATGAACATGGATATAGTTGTCTACCATTTGTATGTTTTTATTATAAAAAGGATAGATGTACATGTATAGACTTATACATGCCTAGAATTTCTCTTAAAGAGTTTATAAGAAACTGGTAAGAAGGGTTGTTTGCTTTGGAGGTCATGGATGAAAGTGTTATATGTTAATTTATCCTATTTTTGTAGTTTTTGCTATGTGTAGGTGTTACTTTAAAAGTCATTAACAGTTCATGTATTACTGATGTGCTTACCAATGTAGCAATGTGAACATACCAAAGTAAATCTGTAATTGTAGTGTGAAAATAGTTGAGTTATTTTTATGTTTATGTTCTTGATAGGTCACCCTTCCTCTCAGGACACCCTTCATCACATTTATTTTAATACCTACAGGAATGTTCATTCCCTATTCCGGCTCCATCTTCTCTCCACCCTCAAATCTGGAAATCTGCTCCACCGCCTGCTATAGCTCAGATGAGATTCTAGTCTTGCCCAGTTCCCCTTCCCTCTGGAGTCCTTTCAGGCCAGGGTGCTTTTTCCTTCCACTGTGGACCTGGAGGAAGTAAAAGCATCTTTGTTTCTTAGTGCTGCTTACTGTTGACTCATTCTCTTTGCCTCTTCCCTAAAATTCCCCAGCTTAATATCTGGTGTCTTCTACCCTAACTGCTCCTCCATTGTTTTTCAGTGAGTTTTAGCTTTTTGTTCACTGTCACTCCATCTAACTGTACTTCCCCTTTTAATATAAGATTGCCATGTAATGTGGCCCTTCATCATCTTGCCTCTTGATGTCTCTTATGTTTTTATTCTAGTGATCAGATCCGGTACTATACCTCGGCTACTCACTCCCATGAACATACGTAATTTGAATAACTGCCCTCTTCCATAATCTCAATTTCATGATTTCTTGGAATTTCCATTTGATCACCACGTCCACCACCTCCAATCTTGGCAGCTGTTAATTCTACTGTATCTGACAACCCTTCAAATCTATTAGAAATGCTGAACTATTGAGCCTACCGCCTTTTCACTTACCCTCCTATGTCAGTCACTTTCCTGTCCTTGAGGCCTAACCTGATATCTGTCTTATAAAGGCAGAGAGTTTTAATTTAGCTCCTGATTGGCCAGCCCTAAGGCAGAAACATCATGGTGAAAGGGTGTGGCCGATCACAGCTCCTTACTTCATGGCACTGGGAAGCAGGACAGAAGAGTTCCAGGGACAGAGATAGATACCAAGGCCACACCGCCATGACTCACCCAGATATGCCTAGAAGGGTGCTCCACCAACCCCCAGAGCCAATCTCAGAGCCGATCAAGTTAAGCTACAGCCTTACCACCACACCTCCCGTGGTACATTTTCTCCCTTCCAACCTATTTCTGTTCTTCACTCAGTTTCAATTCCACGTTGGTTCGTACTTACTGTCCCCTGGGCGTGCCTCTTCCGCTCCCTGTTCCTGCACTCAGCTCACTGGTCACTACCAGTCCTCCCGCCGTGTAAAGCCCACACATGTGCCGATGAGTGTGGTTAGGAAAATTTTTAAACACAAGATCTTTCTGACAATGCTCATTTTAACTTACTGACCGTGGCCCTCAAATTAGTACAGCCACATCAGGCTTCCCTGTTCTCCAATCTTTTCTCTTAATCTCTGATGCTGTCTTGCACTTGACTTCTAGGACTCCCTCCGCTGTTTTATTTTCTTTTATATGTAGTTTTTATTCCTTCTCAACCTCCTTGGGGGGTCCTTGGTAAATGTCTGGAATCCTCTTCTCCTCATCTGTACTCATTCCCTCGAAAAATTGAGAGCGCGTCCTGTTTCACAGCATCACTCATGTGTGTGGTGGTTAAAATAGGGTGCATGTTTAAATTTTTAAAGTCTTTATATCAGCAAAAGACACTACTCCCCTCCAAATACTCCCTTTGAACATACCATACTTATCCATCGCTCTTGTCACTTTATGAGCTGGAAGTTCTCTTTCATGAGTGTCTTAAACTGCACTGCTCTAACTGCCTTCATGGCCTGAATTCATTCAAAATGTTTACCTTTCGTGGTCATTTTGCCGTTAGAGAAGAGCCAGAAGTCACATAGTGTCAGACCCAGCGAGTAAAGTGGATGAGGACACTGTGATGCTTTTATTTGACAGAAATTGCCACAAATGTTTTTAATCAATTCAGGACACAGAGGGAGCCATGGAAAAATACTCACAAAAGAAGGCTTCCAGAATTGCCTCAGAGTCACAGAAACGATGGGATAGTGCGTTTGAAATGAAGAGAAGTATTTTGAGGTGATTGATGGCAACACACTTTTTACCATAGTAATTTTTTAAGTTTTTATTTAAACATTGATCGTTTTGTGGATGTGACCTCTCTCCCGAGCTTCATATTCATCTCTGTTCCATGGCTCCTGAATTTTGGGTTAACAGCCCCACATGAACTTACTTCCCCTTCTAAAGCTGATTTATGGTCTTTTTAAACTTCCTTGATGGTAACTCTATACTTCTTAGCCCATAAAAGATATACAATACATTCTTTGGAATTGGAAATTGAACCTCATGCTTTCTTACTGAGCTATACCTCAGGGCCTTTTTATTGTGGGGTGTTATTTGGTTTGGGGAAGTTGTTTGTTTTGTTTTGATGTTTTGTCTTTCTTTTTATTTTGAGACAAGCTGTCACAAAGTTGCCAAATTGTTCTGATTGGGCTTGAACTGCTGTCCTCCTGATTTAGGCCCCCCCCCCCCCCCAGAGTACTGGAATCAGAGGCGTGTGCTATCACATCTGGCCAAAAATGCTTTTCTTTTCTCTATTTCTATCTATCAGGAAACCTTATTTGTTGTACCCTCCAATGATATTCAGAATTACCTTATTCCCATCGCTTCTGTTGGTCAACATTGTGATCCAAACGTCACTGTCTTTTGCCTGAATTATTCTCCTACTCCCCTAATAGACCTCCCTGCTTCAACTGTTATCTTCTGTCATGAACTAGGAAGGACCTTAGGCTTTACCCCCTATTTCACCAAAAAGTTAGCCTGTCTCTGTTTCGTGTTAGAAGACACTGGATTCATGGGTCAGATAAATAGACTGTTACAGCAAAAGCAGTAGGTAAAGAATCAGCATCTGTGCGGATTCCTCAAATCGTCCCCCAGAGCAACATGAAGAGGGCCAGACACGTTGACTTGACATGAGATGCTTTACAGACAAGAGAACCCTAAGCTAGCAAAACCCAATATTTTCTAATGGGCGGTAAGCATGCCCTACCTTGTTCCAGACAAAAAAGAAAGAGTGACTGTCTTCCAAGACTGCACCACAGTCACCCTCAGAAGCACGGCCATTATGCTCTGCGTCTCCCCTGATGAGATGTGCAGCGCTGCTAGCCCCATGAACATGTCTCCCAGCACACTTCTCAACTCTGTCTTTTACTCTTCTGTTAAAAGTCATCCCTGGCTTCCAGTTTTACTTAGGATGTGAGTACAAATTGTTAAAGCAGTCTGCAGTGTGCTGAGCAGTACTGTCTTGCACACTGTCTTGTCTCTCTGACCCCGTGTCCTAGCCTGCTTTAGCTCTTCCCTGTCACCCGTTCTGCTCCAGCACTCTGCTCTCCTGCACCTCCTTCCTGAAAGCCAGACATACTTGCCCTCCTGGATACCGCAGTAGCTGGAGGCTCTGCCCTCAGATCCCTCCATCTGCTCAGATGTTACCTTCTCAATGAGGCCAGTCTGACTGCCCTCCTCCACCATCACCATTTTCCTGTACATAGATGCTTTTCTTCGAAATGTGCATTTTCTAACATTTATCATTGTCATTTATGCCCTTGTGTTAAAATGTAGATTCCATGAGAATCAGGGTTACTTGGTGACTGAATGAGAAAAATGTCCATAATCTTTTATATTAGTGTTAAGTTTCATTTTCAGCAGAAAAGACAATAGCTGTTCTATATGTTTAAATTAGAAATTTTCAACTTGTGAGGTAAAAGTTTGAAGTTATCATGGCTTTCATTTTATTCAGTCACTATTTATTTATCTAATTCTTGCATACTTGGGATTGCAAAAGCCTTCACTATGCAACATCCCTGGACCATTTCTGCATTATTTATTTTGAGATAGACTTTTGCTAAATCACTAAGTTGCCAGGATATGCTGAAATCTGTGATCATCCCGGCTCAGCCTGGATTACAGGGAGGCACCACCATGCATAACTATTCAGTTCCTTTCAAATACAGATGATTACATGTACACACACACACACACACACACACACACACACATACACACGTGTATTCAGGTGGTTTCTAAATCAAAGTAAGATATTCTTGTTATCTGGTTAAATTAGTTCTTGCTCACTCCAATTATAAGACCATAGGCTTAAACAAACTTTTAACCTGAGAAATGAATCCTTCTTTTGAGCATAAATTACACTACTCTAGTAGTCTAATTACAGGTGAAAATTTTGTTTCTATATTCTCTTTCTTGATTTTAATTTAGACAATGCCTCTACAGATTTTCTTTCCTAAAACTAACCTCTAAAGTATACTGAAGCAGTCCATATCAAATAAATTGTTTGGAAGGTGATATTAACTCCTGCCTTTTTAGTATACATACAGAAGCATTCATATATGATGGCTGTATATCATTTCTGAAGATATTCACATTTTTTAAAAGGCAGTCTCAGAATCGTATGAAGATTATATTGATATCAATGAAAGGAATAAATCACTAAAACTATGTTCATATGCATATATTTTTAATTGATGTGGATCTGGAAAAATAAATGCATGAACAATTACCACTGAGGGACTTTTGGAGAGGGAAGACATTCTCAAAGACATAACAGAGACTTCTCTTTTGTATTTTATTATCCTTCAAGGAACATGTATTCAATATCATATAATTTTTCAGCAGAAACATTCATGCAGAATTAACCACCATTCATCCTATTTTCTTCTGCTTCCATCATTTGCTTTCTTCTCTGTACACTTCACTGGCTGAACTTTTTGTGCTTTGACGAGAGGTCACAGACTCTTTAACGTGATCCCTACCTTTTCTCCTGTTACAGATTATAACAGATTAACTGATTATGAATCTTACCTTTTCCTTAGGTGACATATTTAGCTGCCATGCAATTGACAACCCCAAGCCTCACTCAGAGCTTGAAATGCTCAAAAAGTACGGACCAAATGTGCCTGAACCCATCCTTCAGAAGCTTGTGGCAGCGTTTGGTGAGCTAAGGAGTTTGGCTGACCAGGGAATTATTAACTATCCTTATTCCACGAGGGAAGTCGTCAACATTGTCAAACATTTGCAGGTATAGCACACACCTATGCACAATATATACCAATTTATATCAGATCTTTCAATTTCTATGTCTAATCAGTAGAATGACATGATTTGAAGTGTCTGTAATCTAAGGCATAAATCTAAAAGACCAACAAACCTTATCCGTTTAGGCTCTGAATTGTCTTTCTCATGATCAAGCTGCTAAGGTATTTTCATGGAGAGTTTCTGTGGACAGAGATGAGCAGGAAATTGAGACTGAGCAGGGGCGAAACATTGCTGTTCTGTTGCTTGGCTCTGTACAACAAGCATGTGGTATCCAAGTAGAAAGTACTTTCAGTAGTTTGAAACAAATGACAGGGAGATAGAAAACTGAGTAGAACCTAACAGTATCCATATAACAGTAAATATTACAAGAAAAAGTAAGTGCTATGTAGTCCATTCAGTGACAAAACAAAAACTCAAGTAATTTCTTATGTAACAAGTAACGGACTCCAAGCTAGCCTAATGATTCTGGACTTCACCCTCATCCCCAGCCCTCCAAGAGAATCTGAACAAAAAAACAGAGACCGGGGAGCAGTGTTCAAAGATTCAATTAGGCAAAAACATCAGGGAGAGGGAAAGGGAGGAAGAGGAGGGAAAACAAAGGTTCAGTTAGACGGAATAAGTTTCTGAGATCTACGCAATAGGGTGCCTATAGATGATAGTTAATGTAATTGCTAAGAGAGTCAATTTTAAATGTTTGCACCATAAAAATGTATGAAAAGTGACAGACAAATTAATTTACTAGATTTAATCTGTGTATAACGTATATATTCATATGTATATGGAACTACCACATTCTGTAACATAGGTGTGTAAAATTATTATTTGTCAATTAAGAATTTGTATTTGGGGGGAAAGAAAGCTTTAAAGCTATAAAACCATAAATTCCATGTAAGCAGCTTAGATCCCAGTACCTAAATAAAACCAAAACATAGACAATAAAGGACCTCAAAGAACTAGCAGCATACATTTAGTTGTAATGGTATTATTTATTTTCCCTATTCCCTATATTTTCTATATTCTTCCCTTTGCTATCTGTTTTTATTTATTCATATACTGTGAATTTTCTAAATACTTCTGTGTTGATACTTAGCACTCTCCTTTACCAAAGTAGCATTTTTAAATTGGTCTGTGTTGCGCTCCTTTTAAAGACAAGAGGTTTCAGGAAACAGTGGCAGTCACTGAACCCCAGGATGTGAGCACTGCCTCAGCATTTGAAAGGAAGAAATCCTCTTCCTCAAATTCTAGTATTTTAAATAAGTACTTTCAAAAAAGGAAAATATGACTAACTCATCCTAGCAAACAGTAAAATAGAAAAAGTGTATATCCCTACTAACCTTCTCTAACAAGGCCAGGAAATTTCAGATAAAATTCATTTACATGCTGTTCTATGAGTTTTGTAAGTTTTGTAATGTTATGTGCTTTATCAATTACATAATAAGATTTTTTTTTTAATACAGAAATTTCCTACTGAAGGTCTCTCCAGTGTGGTTCGAAACGTGTTTGACTTTGATTCCTACAACAATGACATGAAGGAGATTTTGATTAATACTTTACACAAATATGGGATACCTATTGGAGCAAAACCTACAAATGTCCACCTGGCAAAGGAGTAAGACTAACTCATGTTGATCAAATAATTTTGAGGATTACTGATTGTTAAGTATTGATAATTCTTGCTCTATTATCGTATACTAAGCTGAGCTGATATGGAAATCATGTTCCATTAGTAAGCTTTGCAAATATATGCTGCTATTTGCTGACTGGTTTTCAGTTAAATAGCATTATTTATAGACTTATAAATTACAAACTTTAATTATTATATATATCCCATGAGTAGATGTAATATAATCAAATAAAGGGAAATATTTGTTTCTTTAACAGTCTCTGTTCTTTTGTTGAATTACTGTAAGTCTCATTTCATAATTCAGAGTAAAATCAGTGTACATGCACAAAAAATATGTAACGGTATTATATATTTTGTTAAGATCTTTTTATTTTTGTCACCATATAATTTTCTTTGAATAGTTTCTAAATTTATAATCATATTAACTTAGATTCTTGTTTACTTTCTTAAGCTTCATAGGTGAAGAAAGTAGTAAGAATAAGCAGGTTTGTAATTATAACGGCTGGTTACCTCCCTGTTATAATTACAGGCTACTTAACTGAACATTAGTTAGGAACCTTGAAAAGGTTCCTGGTGACCAGAAAGAAAATAACAGACTTAATTAGTAGTGTAAGTTCCCTGGGAAATAATTTTAAATATGTATAGCTTATTGCTAATTCAGCTACTACCATCTTTGTCTATAAAATGAGATACTTATCAAAAACTCTTAAGGGTCAATAATTATAAATTACTTATTAAAGTAAATTATTTGAAATTAGTAATTTCAAATTAAATTTTTATTAAAGTAAATTGTTATTTGATTTTAGTGTCATATAAGACATTATACAGAAAACATTTGCTAAATATAAATCTTTGATTAGACCAGCAATACATGTTTTTCCAAAATGTACATATCATTCTTATTTATTTTTAGATTGTTATAAAAATATCAGAAAAATATATCCATAAAATGAATTATTAGAGTATCAGGAATTCCTTAAAGGAAAACAAATATTTCCCTTTTGTAATAAAAGTGCAAGATGAACTTACAGAAATACATTACAAGTTATCAGTACACTATTATTCAGTACATTTTTTCAGGAATAGTGAATATCTATCACTATTATATACACTTTCTATATAATATTACTTTACTGATTGGTTAGCAGTTTTCAAAGGTATTTTGAAACTAGGTCAGTAATTTAATGGGTATAGCATATGTCCTATGTTAGCAGGTTCAATAAATTGTTTTTAATGTACTAACTTCCATTGCTATTCATGTTTTTTATTTCTTTTTTATAAACTGTATCTTTATTTTTAGTTGGAAATGGTTTTCATTACGCTAACAAATTTATACAATTAGAGTTCTAGCTTTGTGGAAAGTAGGTTTATAATTTAAAAATAACTTTTTCAGTACTCTTGCACAACTTTAAATGAAAACTGAAACACAACTTGATAAAATCAATCATAAGAAAATTGTTGGCAATTTCAGTTTCTACAGAAGAGAGATTAGTGGTTTAATTTATTCATTACCATCTTCACTTCTAAACTGAAAAGTTCTTGCCATGAAGTGTTATACTTGCCATGGAAAGGTAATTCTGGCCTGAGTACTTATAAGTAGAAACAAAAGTACATTGAACCTGGAAACAAGATGGTCACACTCAAGCTTCAGATGGGAATGGAAACAACCAGTTGTCCACCCACTGCAGATTGCTAAAAATAGGTTTATAGCAGATGTAGGGGACAAATGAGTTTTCCTTTTGGATGGAGATAATAGTAGACCATAATTTGCATAATTAGTCAAAGCATTTTTTTAAACTGTAAATTACAGTGACTTCAATAGCTCAAAAGTCCTGATACTGCTTTATTGCCCTTTTGTGAGATCCATGGATTGCATAGAACTATTTAGATCAAATTGTCATCCTCATACTTAGAAAGACTAGCATGAAAAAAAGGAACAAGATAGTGGTTTGGGAATTTAGCAGTTAGTCATATACTCAGCCTCTATTACCTGGCTCAGACACAGAGTAGCAGATGAAAAGATAGAATCTTGCCCTCTGAGTTGTGGTTTCATTTTGGTCATTTGAATTTAAAGAATTGTTTAACTAGATGGGTTCCCTGTTAGTAGACAAAGAACATTTTGTTATAGATAGCTGTTACAGTCTGTGTGTGGATGTCCCCCCAAAGCTTCATGTGGTCATGGAAATCAGGCTTTTTAGATGCAGCTGAATGTAGAGTTTGTGATTGGTTCATAGTCTATTGCTGCATTGCAGTGCAACTGCTACACCTGCTGGAGTGGGGGGTAGCTTGCATAGCATGACAGGAAGGAAAGGAGGTTTGTTCCTCCCTTTCACCCCTTTTTTCTCTTATTGCTTTGCTGTCTTCTATTGCTATCAATTGCTGTCCCTCTGCCATGTGCCACCCTGCCTCAAAGCCAATGGATTATGGACTAAAACCTCAACACACTGTGAGGTGAATGAATTTTTCTCCTTTAACCTTGGGTGTCAGATATTTGTCTCAGCAAAAAAAGAAAAGTAACTAAGACAGAATTGGTACCAGGAGTGGGGTCGTTGCTGTGACTATACTTGACCATGTGGTTCAAAAGCGTTTGGGAATGGCTTGTGGGAAGAGTTTGGAAAGGTTTGGAGATGTCACCTGAAAGAGGGGAGTTGAAGCATCTTAGGCTGTTCGGTATGGGAGATTCTGGTCAGAATTCAGACCAGAAAACTGGTAAAGACCAGGCTTAGGAGGTTTCTGCTGGGAATAAGGCCTGCATTGGCTCAGGACTGCAGATGATGTGTATTATGGCTTGACAAAAAGTTTATCTGCATTTTGCTCATGTAGAGACACTTTGCCTGAGTCTGAGATTGAGGGTGACAGACTAATTTATCTGGCAGATGAAATTTCAAAGCAGTTGAATGTTGAAGCTCTGGCATGGCTGCTATTGGGGGCTTTTAGCCACATCTATGTTGAGAATTGAACAAAGGGCAGAATGATTTAAAATGTGAGTTTAGTCAAAAGGGAAGCTCCAGTAAAGCTGGATACTGCAAAGATAAATCTCAGATCTTGATTGATGAGAAGGAACAGGAGAATATAAAAGATGGCCTGAGGATATCACAAGAATCACCAAGTCTCCACCCTTTGCAGCCTCAAAACTTCAAAAATGAAAGACTGCTTTGAGGAGAAAGCCTTAGAGAACCATGTTCCAGAATGATGGCAGCATAGAAAATTTGTTCCTCAGAACTGGGTTCGGAGTATCCAACAATCCAGGCACTTAACCCATACAGCCAAAAGAGAGGAAAGCCTGTATACTGCTCCAGCTGGCAGCAGACCTTGACATCATCCATATGGTGCTGGTCTTAAGTGCATGTAGAATGCAGCAGTTATGAGGCTAAGAAGGCCTGGAAGTCCAGGCAGTGTGCCCCTGAGAGGGCAGTGTGCCCCTGAGAGGGCAGTGTGTGAAGCTTGAGGATGAATCCAGAGGTGCAGTAGAGACCCCAGAAGTTTGGAAAATCCAGGAACATGGATCATCTGAGGAAACCTACAAGGAACAAGCAAAGCAGGCCCAAAAGAGAAAGTATAGGAGTCACAACCCACTGGAAGGTTCATAGAGAGAGAACCCCTCAAGCCCTTTTGAGCTCACAATTCATGATAGATTGCCTCAGATGTTCCACATGGAACTGCAGGATTTAGTGTTTGCCCTGCTGATTTTTGGACTGCTTTGGTTTCAATCCTTTGTATCCTCTTGTTTGTAACTTTTGGAAGGGTAATATTTATCTTGTGCCATTGAATATTGGGAGTGTTTAACTTTCTTTTCATTTGAGCAAGGGCTCACAGCTTTTTTTATATCTGGGAGGTGACTTGGGACTTTGACTTTTTAGCGATGCTGAAACTGTTAGGACTTTCAGAGATGGACTAAATGCCTTTTACATAAAGGGCTATGCATGAGTCTTTGGGGTTCCAGGGGTGGAATGTTATGGTGTGTGCCTGAATGACCTCTCAGAGCCTCATGTAGTCATAGGGGTCAGGCTTTTTGGAGACAGCCAAATCTTCAGTTTGTAGTTCAGTCTAGTGCTGCAATTGGCAGTGCAGCTGCTGCATTTGCCCTAGGGAGGGGAGCTTACATACAGTATAAGGGAGGAAAGGAGGCTTGCTCCTCCCTTTTGCCCCTTTTTACTCTTGTTGCTTTTGCTATCTTCTGCCACCATCAACTGTTGTCCCTCTGCCATGTGCCACCTTGTCTCAGAGTCAGTGGATTATGGACTGAAACCTCCACAGACTATGAGATGAATAAAATTTTAAAGTTAAAGTTAAAGTTAAATAAAAAGTTAAAGTTCCTTTAACTTTGAGTGTCAGGTATTTTGTCTCAGCAATGAGAGTTAAGTAACAAAGACAATAGCAAAACCATATGATTTGCTTTCTAAATCAGGACTTCAAAAAATATCAGGACATTTTTGACAATGGAAGGGGAAACTATTGATAATAACTCTCTGAAAAGACATGTGAAATAAGATGTCCTGGTCCAAGCTAGAATTATGGTTAGTGTCATCATAGATTTGCAGTAAAGTTCCTGCTAATCTAGCATCCTTTTCACTTCACTGTCATCCTAATGTTTCTCTTGCCTGCAAATATAAAAATAAAAATAAAGTAATATAGGTTAAGTATTCCTGATCTAAAGACCAAAAATCCAAAATGCTCCAAAAGATGATACTTTTTCATTACCAAAATGATACTATGTGGAAAATTCCATATCTGACCTCATGGAATAGATACACTGATAGTATTGTATAAAATTACCTTTAGATTGCATAAACAATATTTTACTGCACTCCAAAATCAATCCAAAATCCAAAACACATTTGTCCATCGTTTTAAATGAAAAATACTTAGCTGTTGCTAATACTTTCATTTTTCTTTCAAAAATATCACACAATTGATAGTAATCACATAGGTTTCTAAAGATTTAAAGCTGTCCTCATGCAGTCTAAGATTTGATATTTGTAATC